CAAGATAATAATAATAATAATAATAATAATAATAATAATAATAATAATAATATTATTATTATTATTATTATTATTATTATTATTATTATTATTATTATATTGTTACTATTATTATTATTAGACCATATATATCTCTTATTTTGTATATTGGATCGATGTAGTCAATGATGTTCCACAGGAAATTTAATAACATGGCTTGGGTCAGTCCTGTTTAACGTGGTACGGTACACTGATTATGAATACAAGAGTGCACAAACCCAAAATGAGTGTGATACAGTGGTCAAATATATAGGAATGATACTATAAATTATATTCAAACATAATTGATCAACGAAAGTCCTTTATGATTGTATGAAGGAATTGAAAAAAGTATTATTTTGACAGCTCAGGTAGCAGTTGGTAACATAGGAAATCATTTTCCAATCAAGTTGCTTTTCAGCACTGGGAACACAAATAATGTACGGTATAAATCAAATAGATAAGAATACATTGTTTAAATATATAGGAGCATGATTTTATATATTGTATCAAACATAGTTCATCAACGAAAGTTTCTTATTATAGTTGTATGATATAAGAGGGCTCACACATCAGGCCCGTCGGAAGCAATTTGTACTGGTCCGACCAGATGGGACGATCCCAATCCCTTCTACTCAAATTACCTTGTGGTGGCGGCAGTCGGGGAGGGGGAGTAGGGAGGGGATTCAGTTCCCCAAAATGGAAAACCTTTTCAAAAATCCCCTACAGGGCATCGTATTCTTGTCAGTATTACGCAAGAAAACATTTCATTTACATTAGCTACCCACTTATAAGGGGCCCAGACAAGCTTAGAAATCACGCAGAAAAATACATTATTTTAAGGTTTCTTTATTGTCAATAGGCTATTAGAATTATACTGGACAATTATTAGAGTTTTGCAGTGTATCGAGAGACTTCCATAATCACTGTTAAATGAAATGTGAACTGATTGTGAGTGCGACAGACTATAATGACTGTATTTAGACGCTAAATAAATCAATAAATGATTACTTATAATTAAATAATAAGAAGAAGCTACTTCGTTGAAAAAATACACTAGTAGTCCTTACAAGAATTATTCAATGCAATATTAAAAACAATGCTTATGTTTTATACACGTTATACAAGTTATTGTTCAGGCCAAAACCGGACCAACCGGACCGCTTCCGACGGTCTTGTGCGTAGTGTGGAGCCAATTTGTAAGCTACGTAAATAGATTGCAGGTTCGATCTATGCACAATCAAACATTATAATCATCGTCATCATTATTCATTATCTATTATTTAATCATTATTGTCAATGTTATTATTATCATGTTCTTATTAGGAGTGTATATTGGTAATGGTGAGGTCATCCACCTGTCTGGAGCAGAGTTCAATATCAAAGCAAAAGATACAGCATATGTCCATCGGGTGAGCTGGAAAGAATTTCTAGATGGTGATGACAGATGGGATTATATCCCATGCCCCTATGACCTCGATCGTGCAGAAGTTGTCAGACGAGCAAAAAGAGCTGAAGGACGCCTGTTTAGAAATCGGCCATATGATCTCATTAGTAACAACTGTGAGCATTTTGCACGTTGGTGCCATGGCAAGGCGGAGAGTAAGCAAGTGCAAGACGTTGCCAAGTGGGCAGCCATTGGTGGTGCTGTTGTCTTAGGAGCCGGAATATTAGCTGCAGCCGTTCTTCCAGATGACAAAGAGGAGAAACAAAAAGAAAAGCGTCAGTACTATCATTAAGACATATATGCCTACATACAAAGAAAATAGAATATATACAGTAAAATTATAATTTCTTATACTTACAGAATTTTGCCCCACCGTTTTGTTACATCAGATATTGTTCATGAATTAAACAATAACTTTTATCACTTATAACTTGATGCACACAATCTATTTGTTATTTTATTCACTTCCATGTTAATTCTAATTATTAGGTCAATATCTAGTAAAAATTGATTAAAAAAAACAAAACCAAAAAACAAAAAAAAAGACAAAAAAAAAACCCTGAAAGACAGACTTGTTCTTTGACCTTGTACAAGTTTTAATGGTTTTTTTAATATCATGTCTTAAAAATACTTGTTTTGAAGATTAAGAAAAATAAGAAAATAAATAAATTATTACATTATAGTGATGTTAAAATGAAAGATTATATTTGTCATCATAGTTATTAATACCCCTTGGTAGTAAGTAAAACAGTGTTTGGGTGCTAATTATGTTGTTTTAATATTTGGTTAATGTATTTTTGTTATGCAATCAAATGAAATGAATTAATGTAATTACAGCACACACAATGTAAGACACGTAAATATGTTCACTATGAGCTTTGTCAAAGAAGCCTTGACTCACCATACATTATTACCGTACTCGCGCGAATAAGCGCCCGGGCGCTTAAAATGTTTTTTTGCACTTATTTAAACGGGGCGCTTATGAAAATAGAGTGGAAATTGAGGGGGCGCTTATGGAAATAGATGAAAATCGAGGGGTTCTTATGGAAAAATTTTTAATTCAAGAGGCACTTTTTGAATGAAAAAAGATTATATAAGGACATCACGAATGGTGATTAGAAAAGATAATCGTCCAGAGAAAATGGCTCATTACAAGAATGCGTGAATATTTACATAACAGCAAAATAGCAGATGCTAGTGGTTAGCTTGTTGACCATCGGCCGATTGAGATTAGGAGGATGGCAGGATCATTGTATTTTTTCTTGAAAACTAGATGAGAATGTGCTAAAGGTCAGAAAAAGAAAAAGAGGACTAGGCATAGACAAATATGTGAAAAGAGTAAAGTTTGAAATATACTGTCTGTCCAGGGATCGGAGCTCTCATCTGTCCAAGAGAAATATCCTCATTTTGATATTGACTGAAGAAGAATGTGTTTCCACTCTACAGCTCAAATCATGCCAACAACCACAGTCCCAGGATTGATTGGATTATTGACTTGCTAAAAAGAAAATCTTATATTTTATAATTATAATAGGCCTATCTTGCAATACTACAATACCACGAAGTAGAGGTGTCCTTTAAAAAATGTGAAAGGCTTTTGTATCAAACTCATGCTGCATCTCTAGCCGTGTTTCCACAGGACTTCCAAAAATTGCCTACAAAGAAAATATTGCCGAAAAAGCAAAACATAAAAAATTGCCTACAAAGAAAAATTGCCGAAAAAGCAAAACATAAAAATTGCCTAGAAAGAAAAATTGCTGAAAAAGTAAAATTTCAAAAATTGTATAGAAAGAGAAATTGCTGGAAAAGCAAAAACGTTTAAAGAAATAAATTTTAAAAAGTGCTAAAAAAAAAGCAAAACTTCAAAAGTTGCCTAGAAATAGAAATTGCTGAAAAGCAAAAATTGTCTAGAAAGAGAAACTGCTGAAAAAGCAAAACTTGCATAGAAAGAGAAATTAGTGAAAAAGCGGAACTTCAAAAGTTGCCTAGAAAGAGATTTTGCTGGAAAGGCAAAACTTCAAAAAATGTTTAAAATAGAAACTTCTGAAATAGCAAAAACTTGCTGAAAATGCGAACTTTAAAGGGAAGGCGGTTTGGCACAGCGATTTCCATTCAGGTTCTGAACCTCACTGTTGTGGGTTTGAACCACACGCTGACCACTTCAGCCGGCCATACTTATAGTTACCCCAGCTTGCACTGTTGACGGGCTGTAAAGTGGCTCAGGCTGTTTCAGCTCTAGGTGCGAGTATTTCATGGCTTATAAATTAAATAAAAATGTTGTGGCCGCCTCTCATCAATATTGACCTAAGATATACAAAAAAGGAAAAAACTTCAAAAATTGCTTAGAAAGAGTAATTACTGATGAAAGCAAAACTTACAAAGTTGCACTGAAGGATGCTTGGCGCAGCGATTTGGTGGGGGGGGGCATGTGGAGAAAAAGCACAATTCGTTAGTGAGAAAAAATTGTATTTTCTACATATTAGTAGACTCTAAGATCGATTAAATAAGGCTTTGAAGCCCTTAAATCGTCAAAATTTTCTTGGGCTGCGCCCTATAGACCACTTTCGAAACCCTTTAATCGAAGTTTGAACACGCCCACTTTGCTTTGGGTCCGGGAAATCTGACCCCTCGTCCCTTGGCAATTCTCATATAGGAAAAAAATATTGCCACCCGGCCTCCCCAACACGCTGGCGCCATCACTGAGAGAGAGAGGTGACTATTAACACACCTATGTGTAATTGTATACGGCGATTGATATTTTATTAGTTCAAAAAATTATCAAAGGCGCTAGGTAAGGAAATAAAGCAAGTTAATGTTCCAGTAATAGGTAAGTTTTCAGATAAAAAAAAAAGAAAAAAAGAAAGCAAATTACCGTCTATAGACGAATCGCGAACAGAAAGCGGCAAGGAATTCCATATGAAGGGGACTTGAAAAGAAAAAGCACGTTGACAGTAAGTTTTTGAGTTGCCTTTACGAGACGGGACTGTCAAGAGATTTTGAGATGAAGAACGAAGATGGATCGGAATATATTGGGAAAGGTGATTGAGTAAATAGACAGGTTGATGAAAGCTAACTTGAAAGTCAACAAAAGTAACCTGAAATAGCACGTTGTTTTATATTGATCCAGTGTAAAGTTTTAAAGATGGGTTTTATATGGTGATGGCGAGGTGTTAGGGAAACAATACGGGCAGCAGAATTTGGACTCTTTTTAAACGCATTTGTGACCTCAGGTAAAAAAAATATATAAAGAATTACAATAATCTAATTTAGATGAAATAAAAGCGTGAACAAGTGTACCACAGTGTACTGTAATATAGAGGGTATTACATAATCACGTGTACCTACTGTACATATAGTACAGATAAGACCAAGGCAAGTTTACAGTATAGCCTTTATAAACATTACATTACTTTTTGAGGGTCTCTAGCTTCTACTGGATGGATGACCCTCATAATATGTGGTTAGACTACTAGTTTTTTTTTTCTAGAAATAACCTCATTTAACATTTTACCTCAATTTGTTCTTCTTCCTTTCTGATTTTTTCAGTAATTTCAGCCTTTTGTTGAAAAGGTTTTTAATTTTTGAAATTTTAGGCCACTTGCCCTCACAAAGGCATGGAATATTTCATTCCGAATCTAATAGCAATTTAAAAGAAAGCTGAAGACGTTTTACTTTCAGCAATGTTATGGTAATTAATAAAAAAAACAAAATTAAACTAGTCATGTAAAGTGCCGCTGATTATGATGTATATTGTAGAAATGTGCGCTATATAAATTTTAATGTTAATGTTAGTAGCTATCATGTGACCATGTAGGCGTTGCATACGTCGCATCGAGAAAAAAAAACATGTTTTGAGGTTAAAGGTCATACATTCATTCATGAACGTACGAAACCTGGATATAGAAAATGGCTGGAAATTTGTATTTGTCTCTCTGCAAAATACATTCTAGGGCCTTATTATTTCCAAAGCGATTTTTGAGCCCATCGATAATATTACAAGAAATTCAACATAGAAATGCTTCTACCTCAGAAGATGAACTAAATGTCAAGTACTTGGAGGGAGACGATGAAGGTAAGGTGACTTAGGCCTAGTTAGCCTAGCTAGATAACCTATCCTATGGCCCCTAGGCCTCTAGGCAGGCCTACTGGCTAGGCCTAGTAGCCTGGCCTTAGACCTAGACCCCTTCCTGGGCCCTAGTAGGTAGGTCTATATGCCTCTCTCTGCCTAGCCTATGGGTCCTAGACCTTAAAGGCTGAATGAATCTTGGCTAGGCCTTGTAGGCTAGTCCCTCCCTAGGCCTTAGACTACTGTCTGCAGACCTAAGCATAAAGGTGCGGTCCTACTAAATACCACACGGAACCACTCGCGACCACACGGGACCACTCGCGACCACACGGGTGCAAAAATGATAAAAATATTACCACACGAGAGTAGAAAACTACTTAATAATCAATAGAAACCAACTTTTAGTACGGTAATTATCCAAAATATGGTAAAAATTATTTTTTTTGTTACAGGTTTTTCCGCCGTGCTTCGGAAGGTAATGCGGTGACATTGAGGTTCTGTAACGCATTCACGTCTCCAGAAATATGTTCAAACTTGACCTCATTCACTACGTACAGTACGTTACATTTCATCCTGCGTGTATGCCTATTGTATGTATAGGCCTATTATTCTACAATAACTGTATTTATTACTGTATCTGCTTTGTATTTTTATACTTATGTGTTTTTGACTCTTATTATTTTAATTTTAGTTTTTTTTTTTTTTGTATTGATCCTGTAGTTATGTTATGTTTTAGCCCAGAGACAAATCTAGTTAACTTCTTATGAATAATGTTTTTAAAGAGGTATTTTGAGATATTTTCTATGAAAATAAATAAATAAATGGCAGTAAGTACCGCTTTTTGTGTTTCAAAATTAGTAATGGATATAAATGATAGATAAATAAGAGCACAACACATCGTTTTAGAAAAAATAACAAAGGTTAAAATTAGTGACATTAATACGTTTATTACTAAACGAATATCTTGGTTGTCCCTGCAATAAACCTTCTTTAAACACTTTATTAGCATAAACAATAAGGGTTAGGCCTATACTTTATGAAATAACAAATGGTTTATATACCGTAGCTGTACAGAGCTGATGCATGCTAATTAGCAGAGATTACTTATACAATATACTGTACATGAATTTAGGAATACTGAATTTAGGCCAACAGTACCAGACAAAATAAAATAAATAATAATAATAATAATAATAATAATAATAATAATAATAATAATAATAATATAATACAATGATGATAATACTACTACAACTACTACTACTACTAATAATAATAATCGTCCTATAATGTGCATAAACCTCAAATGAGTATATTCGCACAGCAATAATAATAATAATAATAAGAAGAATTAATTTTATATATAAGTATA